GAGAAAGCCCATGCGCAGCAACGAAGACCCAACGCAGCCAAAGATAAATTTATTTTTATAAAAAAGCAGATGGAGATGTGGAAAAGTGGCTGTTCAGGGCCTTGAGGCCAGGTGAGGACTCCACCAGTGTCTGCCTCCAGAGGCCCTCCTCCAGTGTCCTCTCTGCACCCCCACCACACTGTTACCCGTGGCACGCCCCTTACGGATGCTCCGAGGCAGCCCTGGCCTGTGGTGATGCACCTGGCTTTTGTCCTGGTTCTGCCTTCAGGCCGCAGGAGCTTTGCCGGGCAGGGTCTTTCTCTGCACTGTGGGCCCTGACCAGGCCCAGGTGAGTCCTGGGGAGAAGGGGCTCCCTGGAGCTGGGAGCATGGGGAGCACGTGGCCAGCACTCATGACGGGGTGAGGCTGTCTTCGTCAGTCAGGGGGAAAGCCTCCCGGGGGCAGTTGGGCCAGGCCAAGCTGGATAGAAGACTTAGCTGGGCCCAGGATGGCCAAGAGCCATGGGCCAGTAAGGCCAGGGATGATGGTGTCCTGCCAGGGTGGGCGTTGGCTGGGACACTGAGGTAGACCCAGCTCCCTTCTCCTGCCCTGGTTTTTCTGGCACCGCAGATGGCTCCCCGCAGCTGCCGCTAATGATGGATTTTCCAGAAAATGGGATGTGGAAAAACATTGTAGGGATTTTCCTTCTTTCCTCTTCTGCTTGAGGCCCTGGCTGGGGAGCTGTCCCTGGTGCCCCTGGTGGGTGTCTCATGCTTGCACTCACCCTTGTGTCCCACTGTCCCCCAGTCCCCGTCTCTGGATCATCTGACTGCCTAGGGCTTTTGCTTCTGGGCCCCTGCAGCTCTACTCAGAGGCACGGATTCCACAGCTGTCCTCCCTTTAGCCTCAGAGGAGCCCCTGCTTGAGTCTCACTGAAGTTTCTCATGGCACAGCCGTCCCCACTTGGTGCGTTGTACTTGACATTGGGTGGAGCCTGTCTGCCTTTCCCTGGTCTCCTGGCCTGCCTCACCCCACCGCGGGGATGGTGTGGATGCCCCAGCAGCCCACCTCTGGGCACACATGCTCATGTGCAGTGGTAGAGGGCCTTGCCCTGTACTGGGAGACACCATGTGTGTGTCTCTTTTTTTTTTTTTTAAAGCAGATGAGACTGTCCCAAATTGTTTATTAGGTAGGAGTTTTACAAGCATTGCTTCCGTTAGCAGTAACAGCAGTGCTGGAGAGCGTTATGCCTTCTCCAGGCTGCACGGCGAGAGCCTCACCATGCTTTGGTGATCCGCTGGGTGTCAGGATTTCTTCTTGTAGCTTTATGGAACGGATCAGTGAGGATAAACTCAAAGAATTTGTATGTGGAATCTTCGCCAACCATTAAGAATCCAGGGCTCTGTGGCCGTGCATTGGCATCGTGCTCACTCCTCAGCAACAGACTAAAGGCTTTGAGCGAACTTCACTGGCTTAACACAGTGATGCGCAGGCGCCATGGGCTCCCTTAGGCCTGGGCGGCTGCAGCTGCCATGCCACACGCAAATCCTGTGTCTCCTATATCCTGCTGGGCCTGGTCTCCCAGTCTGTGCGCTGGATCGGCCGGCCGGGGTTGGGCGGGGCTGCTGTGGAGGGCACGGAGCACCCCGGAGGAAGGCCGACTGCTGCCTCCCCCACTGCTCTTGGCTTGCTTGTGAGCGCCCAGCTTGGCTTACCCAGTGGCACCGCCAGATGGAAGGGGGAAGCTAGGCTCCGTTGTGAGGGGCAGAGGTGACCCTGCCAGAGGGTCCTGTCACTATGTCCCCTGGCCCCCAAGGGCCTCTCTGCTTCTGGAGTTCCTGGGACCCATGCTCTGGGCATGGGCTCCCTGTCACGCAGCCTTTGGGGGAAGGGACCTGCGTGCGCGCGCACACACCCGCCAGTATCCAGATGGGAAACCCAGCTGCTCAGTGAGGTTGTCTGGGACCCCTGGCTCGGGTGAGTCGGGTGGGGCTCCAGCCTTGAGCCCACTGTCAGTGGACCGTGCCGCTTCTTGGAGTGGAGGAGGCCTTGCCTTGACCTCCCCGGTTGGTGTGGCTGCTGGCCCCCCTTGCCCAGCCCCTCGCCGTCTGCTCCCCTCTGAAGCCCCCGCTCTAGGTCCTGCTGGGCATCCTGTCTGTCGCCTCCTGCACCGACTTTCTCCTGCTTGAAGAGCAGAATGAAAGTGTGGGAAATGGAGGGGCCTGCCTGCTCTCAGGAGTGGGGTTATTACCGTGCATCCCTCCAGTGCTTTCTTTAGAGTCTGAACAGTCACGGGGAGCGGGGGGACTGCATCTTGCAGCTGCATTTCTCCTGCCTCTGTGGCTAAGCGGGTGTGTGAGCCACACCTGCTGACCAGCTCCTGTCACATCTCATGGGTGAGGGGAAAGACGTCTGTGCCTCGGGGCGTGCATGTGGCTGTGCTGGTGCCCAAAGCAGTTGAACTCTCAGGGCATGCGGCGTTACTGGGTGGCACCCACACGGCCGTTTTGCGCTTGTTGCCGGGATAGAGCCTTTGCCAAATCAGGTGTCCCCCCAGCCTGCACAGTCACGCCACTGGTCAGAGCAGCGATGGGGCTGCAGGTCCTCTGGGCTGAAGCCTCTGTCCCCATGTGGTCCCAGCAGGAGCTGCAGCCCCAGCTCTGACCCTGTGGGACCCCTGTCCAGTCTCAGAGGTCCCGCTGCTGGGAGGACCCTGCCCCTTGCAGCTATGTAGCTCTTTTGACTGTGCCCGAGGTTCTACTCACAACCCTTCTTGAGGAAGCCCCCGATTCAGGGGAGAACTTTGGTCTTGCCCACCTTTGCCCACCTACTGCCTGTACCCTCCTGCCTGAGGCCTTATGATTTGGAGGCTGCCTGTGGCCTGCTGCCTCCCCAGGCAGGCTGCAGCCAGCATCAGCTGAGCATGTCATGTCCACATGCCGTCCACTCAGTGCCAAGTCTCCCGATGGCTGCCCCCTATGCAGAGGGAGAGACCAGGCTCCCAGGGGTTAGCTGAGTGCGTCCACAGTCCCCCTTTCCTCACTCCCTTGGTGGGGGCCAGAGGGGGACAGGAGCCCCTTTGGGCCTGGCTTCCCTCATATCACCTGCAGGCAGGTGGTACCTCTCCAGAAGTCCCCCAGGTGGCCACCTGGCTGTGTTGGAAGCCAGGATCACGTGAGCAGCCCGACTGAGAACTGGGCCCCAGCCCTTGGCCCCCAGCCAGTATTTGGGTATAGGTGGCCATGAGGCCCCATGTGGATAGCAGGTCCCCAGGAAGGAGCAGTGGTCAGGGGCTGGGGTGGGGGCCGTTTCCTGAGCCTCATTCCAGAAGTGGTCCTGGACATTGTGAGCCAGGCAGAGGTATCATACCAGGCCTCCCAGCACCACCCCTGGGCATGGTCTTGGGGTCTGGGCTGGCACTCAGGCCCCTGGCTTCCAGGAGGGCCTTGTCTTCACACCAGCCAGTTCTTATTCAGTTCTTGTTGTATGTGGGGCAGCTGGAGAGAGCAAAACCCGTTCCAGAGGGTGGCTGATGGAGCTGGGCTTCAGGACACCCCTCAGGCTGCCACGGGAGCTCGGATTAGAGGGACTGAAGTCTGGGCGGGTGCCCAGGGATGGGGGTCTGGACCAAGCTGTGGCTCGGGTAGGGTGGGGGAGTCTGAATGTTTTAGGAGCTGGGTTGACAGGACCTGGAGACAGATAGGCCTGAAGGAGGCATTGACAGGCCAGGGAAGGGCAGGCCTGGTGAGAGGCATTCTGGGGACATCAGAGGGCCAGAGTGACACCTGGAAGGGCAGAGGCTCCAAGGGTGGGAGGCCCAGGCCTCGTCAGTTTGGAGACTATGGCGGGAGGTATAGACCTGTGGGAGCACAGGGAGGCCTGGGGGGAGTGGCGACTGGAGGTGTCCACTGAGTCAGGCTGGTCCAGGGTCCCTGCCCAGGAGGTAGACGGGCCGGGTGACTGGCCTCCACCTCTATGCCGGGCGGGGAGGTGGAATTGTTGGCTAGAGAGTGTATCCTCGGAAAGACTCGAGAGGGGCTGGGGTCATGTAGTCATTGGAGTGTAGTCACTGGTGTGTCACTACCACGTCACCTGAACTGGGGGTGATGGTAGACAAAAAGTGCTGTTGTTCTGTTTTCATGGTGTTTCTCCAGTTATGAGACCGGGTGTTTTTCTGTGTATCTGTGACATTTGTATATCTTTCGTTAATCTTGCCTGTTTTCATATTTGGCCTTTTTCTCCCCCCTGGAGTAGCTTGCTTTCTTTATGGTTTGTTAACAGCATATGTGGAAAGGGGATTATGGGCCTTTAATCCATCATCTAAATTGCTAGTGCTTTTCCCAGCTTGTAGTTTGTTTTCTGATTTTATGATATTTTGTGTGTAAGTTGCATGTTTTTGTGCAGTTGGATCTTTCGGCTTTTGATGTTTTATTTCTGCTCATAGTTTCATGCTTTGAGAACCCGTGACTCTTCTCCCGTGTCTTGCACCACGTTCGGTTCTCTGATATGGTTCTGTTGACCTTGAGGGCCTGGGATTATGGAGATCCAGCTCTAACTCTGGTGCCCAGACCCCAGAAACTTAGCACGGGCTGTCAGTACTGCTCTGCTATGGGGTCGTCCACCAGAGCCCCCTTCCCGTTTGTGTGGTCTGTGCCACATTCCCCCCACCCTCCAGCTGGTAGCAGCTGGGCCCCTGGCCCTGGAAACCCCTGGGCTTCCTTGTGTGTTCTGAACCCTGTGTGGAGGGGTGAAGCCTGCCCTACATGGTGCAGTCCTGCTGGGCGAGGGGGCAGGGGGTGGGAGGGGAAGGGGCAGGGCATGGATGGAGTGCTGAGGGGCCAGCTCTCTCCTGCCTCGGGCTCTCCAGATGAGAGTTCATTCAGGTCTTCCACCTCTGGCCCTGGGAAGAGGGAACTCAGAAGGTGGGAGGCTGCAGCTGGAGAGCATCTGAGGTGGGCCCGGGTGGACTCTGTGCCATGCCTTGGGCCCCAGCACTGACCTGCAGCTGCTTTGCTCTCTAGAGATGTCTCCCACAACCTGCTCCGAGCACTGGACGTCAGGCTCCTGGCGAACCTCTCGGCGCTGACGGAGCTGTGAGTGTCCCCTCCAGGGCCGCTGCGGGATTCCACGCAGTGGGCAGGTGGCGGCTGCCTGTCATTGTTGCGGTTGAGGGGGCTCGCGTCAGACCATGTCGAATCTCTCCTTTCTTCTAGGGACATAAGCAACAACAAGATTTCTACATTAGAAGAAGGAATATTTGCTAATTTATTTAATTTAAGTGAAATGTAAGTTTTGTTGGTTTTGGTGGCTGTTGGCAGCTGGGCCCGTGGCCCCCACACCTGCCCTCTGAGCCTGCCCCGCCCCCTGCAGAAACCTGAGCGGGAACCCGCTGGAGTGTGACTGTGGTCTGGCCTGGCTGCCGCGCTGGGCAGAGGAGCAGCAGGTCCGTGTGGTGCGGCCTGAGGCGGCCACGTGCGCTGGGCCCGGCCCTCTGGCCGGCCGGCCCCTCCTCAGCGGCCCCCTGTTGGACAGCAGCTGTGGTGAGTGCAGGTGGGCGGGACACACTTGGTCCCTCCCTGCCGGGCAGCTTGGCCAAGCAGCCGGCGGGAACCCTGCCGGTTTTCAGGGGTCTCCAGCCTATGGTGGCAGATGGGGATTGGGGAACAGCTGCACGAGAGAAATAATTACAGGGGCTAGGACAGACTGACTGGGGGAGGGGTCGCAGAGGCCCTCTGGACCAGGGGACCACGTGGGTGTGAGGCGGGGAGACCAGTCTGGGGGTGGGGGTGAGCGCCACGCAGCTGTTGGAGGGTCAGAGATGATGTGATCTGGGGTGTAGAATGGGGTGGGGTGCACCCTCAGGACCAGCCTGCCTGCCCCTTCCAGGTGAGGAGTACGTCGCCTGTGTCCCTGACGACAGCTCGGGCGCCGTGGCGCTGGTGGCTTTCTCAGCTGCCCATGAGGGCCCGCTGGCCCCCGAGGCCTGCAGTGCCTTCTGCTTCGCGGCTGGCCGGGGCCTCGCGGCCCTCTCAGAGCAGGGCAGGTGCCTGTGCGGGTTGGCCCGGCCTCCCAATGCCTCTTCGGCCTGCCTACCCTCCTGCTCCAGCCCCCCACTGCCCCCCGCCCCCACCTGCCGGGGGCCCACCCTCCTCCAGAACATCTTCCCTGCCTCCCCAGGGGCTGCCCTGGTGGGGCCCCAAGGACCTCTGGCCTCTGGCCAGCCCGCAGCCTTCCACGTCACTGCCTCACTGCCAGTCAGCTCCACGCGCTGGGACTTCGGCGACGGCTCCCCTGAGGTGGACATTGCTGGCCCGGATGCCACTCACCACTATGTGCTGCCTGGGCGCTATCCCGTGACGGCCGTGCTGGCCCTGGGGGTCGGCTCTGCTCGGCTCTGGGCAGAGGTGTGGGTGGAGGCGGCTCCTGTAGCCCTGGAGCTCATGTGTCTGGCCTCTGTGCATAGCGACGAGACCCTGAAGCTTGGCGTCCGAAACCGTGGCGGCTCTGGCCTCGAGGCCACCTACAGCATTGTGGCCCTGGGCGAGGAGCCAGCCCGAGGTGGGGCCGCCCCGCCCCGCCCCTGGGCCTGAGTCGGGGTGGGTGGGGCAGCCCTGGTTGGGCACACATCGATGCCCCGTCTCTCTGTTCTCTGACCCCCCAGTGGTGCATCCGCTCTGCCCCTCGGACACTGAGATCTTCCCTGGTAATGGGCGCTGCTACCGCCTGGTGGTGGAGAAGGCGGCCTGGCTGCAGGCACAGGAGCAGTGCCGGGCCTGGGCCGGGGCCGCCCTGGCTATGGTGGACAGTCCTGCCGTCCAGCACTTCCTGGTCTCCCGCGTCACCAGGTGCCTGCCCAAATGCCGCTGGTCCTCGGAGAGGCTGGGAGTTCGGGGGAGGTCCCCAGAATGCTGGGGTGGGGATGGATCATGAGCACATTGGGGTGTCTGGAGGTGCTGTGTCCAGCCAGCCAGCCTGGCTCTGGGGATAAGGAGCCATGTTGTGCCCACGTGTGGCCATTCCTATCAGCTCTCTCGGCTCAGATGTGGACACGGGGGTGCCCACTGTGGGAGGTGCACCCCTGGCCCTGTATCCTGCCCCCACTGTCCCATTCTGGGCCCCTCCTGGCAGGGACCGGGGAGGTTCTGGTGTGACCACGGAGGCTGCACTTCCTCCTGCTGCTCCCCCCTGGGTGGTCACTGCTGCCAAGCGCTGCCCATGCACGAGGAGCCTCTTGGACGCTCTGGCTGCCCAGGCCTGTGGGGGCATATGCTCTGTAGTGGTCACCATAGGTGGCCCCGCCTGGTCTCTACTCAGCCCTTAGCACCTGCAATGGCTAGGGGGCGGGATGGGGTGGAGGCTGGCCCCCGTCCTCTCCCAGGGTCCCTGTGTGGGAAGGGACTGATTGGACTGTGGGTCACCCTGGACTTCCCGAGGGGAAATCGAGGCCTATAGCAGTCAAAGCCCTTGCCCAAGGTCACGTGGTTCCCAGGTAGTAATGCAGCCCCAGCACCCAGCTCTGATCACAGCACCTCAGCCACCCCTGCTGCCTGTCCCTCTGTCTGACCCTGTCCCAATATTTGTCCCTGTCCTTGTATCTACAAGCCCTGCCTCCAGGAGGGTCTCTCTGCCCTGGCAGAGCTGTGGGAAGTAGCCTGTTTGGGGGCTGATATGTGGGTGTCTTTGTCCCCAAATGCCACACCTGGATCCTCACCTCTGGGCACACACAGGTCTACATGGCCCTGGGCCAGAGTGAGGTGGAGCTCCATGAGGGTCTCAGCTGGGCCCCTGGCCCCATGGGATGGGTGATTGGGTGGGCACTGGTGTGGGCCTTGCTTGCCAAGTCATGTATGAGCCTCAGTTTCCCCATTTGGAAAGTGAGGACAGGCAGAGCCTGCCTGACAGGCTGCTCTGAGGAGGGTGCCCCCAGAGAGAGGGCAGAGGGAGGGGTGCTTGTCTCTGGGGAGCCCCTGAGCACCTGCTCTTCCCTCTGTCTGCCTGCAGGAGCCTGGACGTGTGGATCGGCTTCTCGGCTGTGGAGGGGGTAGAGGTGGGCCCAGCGCCGCAGGGTGAGGCCTTCAGCCTGGAGAGCTGCCAGAACTGGCTGCCTGGGGAGCCGCACCCTGCCACAGCTGAGCGCTGCGTGCGGCTCGGGCCTGCTGGGCAGTGCAACACAGACCTGTGCTCGGCACCGCACAGTTACGTCTGTGAGCTGCGGCCCGGAGGTGCGCTGGGGCCCCTGGGAGGCTGGGGAGCACCTGCTGCCCTGGCCCAGGACACCCCTCCTCCAAAGCATACAGGGTCCCTTGGCCACCCTGGGAGCTCCTCCCATCCTGGCCAGGACAGCTGCCCCTAGCACCCCAGTTCATTCCTTAGCTGTTCAGTGTTTGTTAGGTGTTTGCTGAGTGTCTACTGTCCCGGACTGAGCCCACACTGGACAAAACAGGTGGAGGGAGCCAGGGGCTACTGCCAGGTGGCTCAGTCCCAGGTCTGATCCCACCCTGGGCCCCCAACACACTCCTCCTCGGCCTGGGAACAGCACCTCATTGCACACTTGCACCACAGGCCCTGTGTGGGACGCAGAGAACTTCCTCGTGGGAGCACCCAGTGGGGACCTGCAGGGGCCCCTGAGCCCCCTGGTGCAGCAGGAGGCCCTCACAGCCCCCCGGGAGCCCGTTGAGGTAGGCTGGCCTTCCAGGTTTCTTGCCCTGGCTATTGCAGTTCCCTTTAAAAAACAAGAAGCCTTTTTCTGGGCCTTATTAACATTCTGTGTCTAGTAGAGTCAGTGCAGAGGGGAGTAGCACCCAGGCCTGGCATCGGGAGAGCTCTGAACGCTCCTGAGCCTTTTCTCTTGGTGCTTGGGGATTTTTTAGAAATGAAGGTACAATTCCTGTTGCTCACAGATGGTTTTGACCTAATTTTTTTCTCCTGAGTGACATTGTCTCCCACTGTGTGAAATGAGGCCAGTGGGGGCCTCTTGAAGGCCCATCTGATGGCTCCTCCCCTCTGACCTGGTGGGTGTTTGGGCATTGGGGTGGGGCTGGCTGAGGGCCGGGGTCGGTGGAGCTGAGTGGCCCCCCTGCCCGGGCAGGTGATGGTGTTTCCTGGCTTGAGCCCGAGCCGTGAAGCCTTCCTCACTGCTGCCGAGTTCGGGACCCCGGAGCTCGGCGGGCCTGCCCAGCTGCGGCTGCAGGTGTATCGAGCCATGCGAGGAACAGGTGGGACTCCATCCTGGCAGTGGGACCTGGGAGGCTCGAGCAGCCTCTCTGCACTGTGGTGTCTGCTGGTCCCTTGCCCACTGGACTGGTCTCCAGCCTCAAGGTGGACAGTGGGGTCCACAGAGATGCCAACTCATGCTGGGGATCCCAAGGATGGGTTTGGTGGGGAACTTGCTGGGGCTGGGGACTCACCGGGGTCAGTCAGCTGGCCTGGTGTGGGGAGGGTTAGAGGAGTGATGGCGGGGGCTGGGTACACTGCCTGGTGAGACCTCATGTCATAGTAGGGCGTCCTTATGATCTTTTAGCAAATTGGGGTACCTGACACCCCTCCTTTCCTTGCAGGGGCCCCAGGAAACAGCAGCGAGCCCCAGAGTAGGTCCCTGGAAAACAGGACTGAGCCCATCCCTACATGCACACCAGAAGGACACCCGTGCCCCAGATCCAACATCTGCCTGCCTCTGGACACCCCCTGCCACCTTCGGGCCTGTGCCAACGGATCCACATCAGGGCTGGGGCTCCCTGGGGTCTCCTATGCATTGTGGAAAGAGTTCCTCTTCTCTGTGCCTGCGGGCGCCCCCGCCCAGTACTCGGTGTGTATCACTGGCCTAGGTGCCTTCTGCCTCCCCATCAAACACAAACAAAATGCAGATTGTTCTGCACAGCCCTCCAGGTCCCCTAACCCACCCGCCTCCCGCCTCGGCAATGCTCTCCTCCTCTGCCAACCGTGAGAAGCTCCTGCCCCAGGGCCTTTGCACTTGCCTTTTAAGGAGGACTCTTCTCTTCTCTGGGCAAGGCTGGCCAGTGTCCAGAAGTCCCTCCCCTGTCTGGGGAAGCCCCACCCCTGCCTGCATCCTCTCTGCCCTGTGTGTTTCGTCTGTCCCCATCTTGAGTGCCTTGGAGGTCCCTGTGAAGCCTGGTGGTGTGTGAGTGAATGAGGAGTGTTGAGACCCCTGTAGGGGGTGACTCTGGGTTACCCCAGGGGGGTTCTGCAGCCCGCTGGAGCCCCTGGCCCAATGCTGCCTACAGGCCCCTGACCCACTGTGAGGACCTGACACAGGCCCAACCCCCTCTCCTGTATTCCTACCCCCTCTCCTGTAGGTCACCTTCCACGACCAGGACAGCCCCCTGCTCCCTGGTGACCTCATCAGCTTGCAGCACGATGCCGGACCGGGTGCCCTCCTGCGTTGCCCCCCAGCACTCGGCATCCCTGGCTCCGAGGCCCCGTACTTCTCCACCAACGTCTCAGCCTGGCTGGCCCACCTGCCTGCCAAGCTGGAGGCGGCCCCGGCTGGCCCTGCCTGTGCCCTGCGGCTGCTTGTTGCCACAGAGCGGCTCACCCCTCTGCTGGGCCTGAGCCCCAACCCAGGGCTGCGGCGGCCGGGGCGCTATGAGGTCAGGGCCACAGTGGGCAACAGCGTGTCCAGGCACAACCTGTCCTGCAGCTTCAACGTGTTCTCCCCGGTGGCAGGGCTTCGGGCCATCTACCCGGCCCCCTACGACGGCCGCCTCTACATGCCCACCAACGGCTCGGCCTTGGTGCTCCAGGTGGACTCCGGCACCAACGCCACGGCCACTGCACGCTGGCCTGGGGGCAACGTCAGTGCGCCCTTCGAGGCTGCCTGCCCTGCCACTGTGGCTGCCCTGGTGCCTGGCTGTGCCCACGAGGCCAATAGCACCCTGTTCTCAGTGCTGGCACTGCCCGGGCTCAGCGAGGGCGAGCACGATGTGGAGGTTGTGGTGGAGAACGGTGCTGGCCGGGCCAACCTCAGCCTGCGGGTGAAGGCTGAGGAGCCCATCCGAGGTCTCCGCGCCACGCCCAGCCCTGAGGCCCGAGTGCTGCAGGGTGTCCTGGTGGTGAGTGTGGGCCCCGCCCCCCGCCCCTCCCTGAGACAAGGTGCCTATGCAGAGGGTGGCCTCTCCCCAGCGAGGAGAGCGCTTGGCTGCCAGGGACAGTGGGTTCAGTGTCGGTTTCTGGGCAGGTCCTGTTCAGTGGCTCCTCAGATGGTTCGTTAATTCCTAAGTTACTGGGGAAGTCACCTGTGAAACAGTTGCTCTGAAAATGCTTCTTTTTGCTCTCACATTTCCTGCACGAATTGTCGAACTCTCCACCCACCTCTGACCTTGCTGATCCTGGGTGTGTTTTTGGGGCCCTGCTGTGTTCCCACCTGGCTAAAGTGAGCGCTTTTTGAGGTTGGGATCTGATGCCACCCGGCCACTGTTGGTGCCACTCCGGGAGTGGCTGTCCTGTCCCTGTCCTGGGAGTACCCACCTCACATAAGGCAGCCACCAGTTCTGCAGCCTTAGCACAGGAGCTGTTGGGTGGTTGTGTCCCCTTCCCCGGCTTCCCTGTTCACACCTGTTCTATCAGGTGACTCAGGTAAACATTCAGAACCATGAGGCCCATTGAGACTCACGTGCCTTCCCAAACGGCACTGTGCTGTCCAGCTATGGGGGCCTGAGCAGGAGCCCTGGGATGGGGGTGCACAGACTGAGGTGGGTTGGCCCAACCCAACGGGTGTTGGGTTTATTTTACAGATAAAGAAACTGAGGTACAGAGAGGTCAGGATGTAACCAAGCCCAGGCTCAGCCCCGCACTATGTGGCCTCCTTAGCCTAGAGGGAAGCCCCATAGGGAGCTATGTCCAGGCGGATAGACGTGGGTTGAGGGCACAGTTGGTCCCCCAAAGACCCTGGGCTGGGGCAGGACCATGGCCAGCTGACGCTGTGCCCTTCCGCAGAGGTACAGCCCCGTGGTGGAGGCTGGCTCGGATGTGGTCTTCCGCTGGACCATTGATGACAAGCAGTCCCTGACCTTCCACAATGTGGTCTTCAACGTCATCTACCAGAGCGCCGCCGTCTTCAAGCTCTCGGTGGGCGGGGGGCGTGGGCACAGGGTGGAGAGTAGGGTGGGGGTGGGTGGGGCGGGGGCTGGGCTGTCTGCTGCTCACCTGTGCCTTCTGCTCTGCTTTGCTCCCGAGGACCCCGTGGCAGCTGTGGGTGAGTGCGGGGAGGGGCTCTGTCCACGCTGCCCTGTGGCCGGCTGGTGGCCTGCTCACTGCCGCCTGTCCCCACAGCTGACGGCCTCCAACCACGTGAGCAACGTCACCGTGAACTACAACGTCACCGTCGAGCGGATGCACAGGATGCGGGGCCTGCGGGTGTCTGCGGTGCCGCCCGTGCTGCCCCCCAATGCCACGCTGGCGCTGGCGGCTGATGTGCTGGTGGACTCGGCCATGGAGGTGGCCTTTCTGTGAGTGTGCTGGGCCCTGGGTGGGGCCCCAGCCTCCACCTCCTCATCTGTCAGGACGTGCTGGGTACATAGGACATTGGGAGCGGCTGGGGGGCTGCAGCAGGGCGGGTGGTACCCTGAAAGGAGGTGCAAGGAAAGGGGCTACAGCCGGGCCCTCCCTCCCCCCCCCTCCCCCTCCCTCCCTCCCCCCCCCCCCCCCCCCCCTCCTAGCCTGCTCACTTGCCTGCTCGCTGCCCTGGCAGGTGGACCTTCGGGGATGGGGAGCAGGTGATCGGCCAGTTCAAGCCTCCATACAACGAGTCCTTCCAGGTCCCAGACCCCACAGTGGCCCAGGTGCTGGTGGAGCACAACATCACACATACCTACACTGTCCCAGGTAAGGGGCAGGCCTGCTGCCCTGCCAGCCTCCAGCTTGGGTGAGCCCTGCCCCGGGGACAGCCCCTCCCTGGGGGACAGCCCCCCTTGGTCCTGCCTCCCGGGATCCAGCCTGGGCTGTTGGCGCAGGGCCCTCACTGGGGTGAAGAAGGGATGTCCAGGGTTGAGGGGTGGACTAGGCCTCTGAGACCCATGATTCAAGTCTGCCGGCCAGAAACCGGACCCTTCTATCCCCTCCTGACTCCTTCCCTGAGCCTTTTTTGGGGGAGAAGGGAAGGTTCCTTTTAGTCAGTTTTGAAATTCCAGAAGCCTCACACACAGAAATGCAGAGTAAACAGTGGTGCCCCTATGATCCCAGCCCTGTTCCTGTGATCTCAGCCCTGCACCTATGCCTGCCCTGTCACCCCAAGGGCAGTTGTACCTGGAGATGGTTGCTCTTCATCTTTCTGCCTCAGCCCTGCGACTTGCCCTGTGCTGAGAGCACCCGGGCCTGGGTCCAAGGGCGTTCTCTGTTCACGTTATAACTGGGGCCCTGCTTTGCGCCTCACCCCCACCCTAGGCCCCTGCCCACAGCACGGGGTTAGGAGGGGTTCTGCTGAGTAGGTGGTGGCGGCGGCCCCGGCCCCGTCCCCGTCCCCGTCCCCATTCTGGGCCTGTCTGCCAGGTGAATACAACCTGACCCTGCTCGTGTCCAGTACCTTCGAGAACCTGACGCAGCAGGTGCCTGTGAGTGTGCGCGCCACCCTGCCTGCCGTGGCCGTGGCTGCGGGCAGCCGGGTCCTGGTGGCTGGCTGGCCTGTCACCTTCTTCCCGCACCCGCTTCCCTCGCCTGGGGGTGTCCTGTACACGTGGGATTTCGGGGATGGCTCCCCAGATGTAATACAGCCCCAGCCAGAGGTCAACCACACGTTCGCCTCGAGGGGCGCATACCACATCCGACTGGAGGTCAACAACACGGTGAGTAGTACAGTGGCGAGCATCAGCGTCCGTGTCTTCGAGGAGCTCCGTGGCCTGACCGTGAGCCTGAGCCCGGCCGTGGAGCAGGGTGCACCCGTGGTGGTCAGCGCCACCCTGGATTCGGGCGACAACGTCACATGGACTTTCGACATGGGGGACGGCACAGTGCTCATGGGCCCTGAGGCCACAGTAGAGCACGTGTACCTGCGGGCGCAGAACTGCACAGTGACCGTGGGCGCGTCCAGCCCCACTGGAAACCTGGCCCGGAGCCTGCCCATACAGGTCTTCGTCCTGGAGGTGCTGTGGATCGACCCTACAGCCTGCATCCCCACCCAGCCCCACGCCCAGCTCACAGCCCACGTCACTGGGAACCCTACCAACTACATCTTCGACTGGACCTTCGGGGATGGCTCGTCCAACACAACCGTCCGGGGGGACCCGACAGTGATGCACAATTTCACACGTAGCGGTACATTCCCCCTGGCGCTGGTCCTGTCGAGCCACGTGAATAAGGCGCATTACTTCAGCAGCATCTGCGTGGAGCCCGAGGTGGGCAACATCACCATGTGGCCCGAGAGGCAGTTCGTGCGGGTCGGGGACGCAGCCCGGCTAGTTGCCTGTGCCTGGCCCCCATTCCCCTACCGCTACACCTGGGACTTTGGCACTGAGGATGCCGCTGCCCGCGTCGGGGGCCCCGAGGGCACATTCACCTACTGGGACTCAGGTTCCTACCTGGTGACCGTCACCGTGTCCAACAACATCTCAGCTGCCAACGACTCGGCACTCGTGGAGGTGCAGGAGCCCGTGGATCTCACAGGCATCAGGGTCAATGGCTCCCATGTGCTGGAGCTGCAGCAGCCCTACCTGTTCTCTGCTGTGGGACGTGGGCACCCCGCCACCTACCTGTGGGAGCTGGGGGATGGCGGGCGGCTCCAGGGCCCTGCGGTCACCCACGCCTACAGCAGCACGGGCTGCTTCCCCGTCAGGGTGTCTGGCTGGAACGAGGTGAGCCGTGGGGAGGCCCAGCTGAATGTCACCGTGCAGCGGCGTGTGCGGGGGCTCAGTGTCAACGCCAGCCGCACGGTGGTACCCCTGAACGGCAGCGTGAGCTTCAGCACCTCCCTGGAGGCGGGCAGTGACGTGCATTACTCCTGGGTCCTCTGTGACCGCTGCACGCCCATCCCTGGGGGCCCCACCATCTCCTACACCTTCCGGTCTGTTGGCACCTTCAACATCATTGTCACGGCTGAGAATGAGGTGGGCGCCGCCCAGGACAACATCTTCATCTATGTCCTGCAGCACATCGAGGGGCTGCAGGTGGCGGGCGGTGGCAGTAGCTGCTGCTTCCCCACCAACCGCACGCTGCAGCTGCAGGCCGCAGTCAGGGATGGTACCAACATCTCCTACAGCTGGACCGCTCAGCGGGACAGTGGCCTGGCCCTGGCTGGCAGCGGCAAAACCTTCTCACTCACCGTGCTCGAGGCTGGCACCTACCACGTCCAGCTGCGGGCCACCAACATGCTGGGCAGCGCCTCGGCCAATCGCACCGTGAACTTCGTGGAGCCTGTGGGGTGGCTGGCCGCCACTGCCTCCCCAAACCCGGTGGCTGTCAATGCAAGTGTCGCCCTCCGCGCTGAGCTGGCTGGTGGCAGTGGCGTCACTTACACCTGGTCCCTGGAGGAAGGGCTGGGCTGGGAGACCCCAGAGCCATCCACCGCCCACACCTTTCCCAGCCCCGGCCTGTACCTAGTCACAGTCATGGCCAAGAACCAACTGGGCTCAGCCAACGCCAGCATTGAGGTGGCTGTGCAGGTGCCTGTCAGTGGCCTCAGCATCAGGGCTGGTGAACTGGACTGCAGCTTTGTGGTGGCCAGTTCCACCGTGCCTTTCTGGGGGCAGCTGGCCTCGGGCACCAACGTGAGCTGGTGCTGGGCCGTGCCAGGTGGCAGCAGGCATGGCCAACACATCGCCGTGGTCCTCCCCGACGCCGGCACCTTTTCCATTCAGCTCAATGCCTCCAACGCAGTCAGCTGGGTCGTGGCCACACACAACCTCACGGTGGAGGAGCCCATCGTGGGCCTGGTGCTATGGGCCAGCAGGAAGGTGGTGGAGCCCGGGCAGCTGGTTCACTTTCAGATCCTGCTGGCTGCAGGCTCGGCCGTCAGCTTCCACCTACAGGTCAGTGGGGCTGGCCTCGAGGTGCTCCCCGGGCCCCACTTCTCCCGCAGCTTCCCCCGGCTCGGGGACTACACGGTGAGCATCCAGGCCGAGAACCACGTAAGCCGGGTGCAGGCGCAGGTGCGTGTCTCAGTGCTGGAGGCCGTGGGTGGGCTCCAGGTGCCCGACTGCTGCGAGCCGGCCATCGCCACGGGCGCCGAGAGGAACTTCACGGCCCGGGTGCAGCGGGGTTCCCGTGTTGCCTACGCGTGGTACTTCTCGCTGCAGAAGGTTCAGGGAGACTCACTGGTCATCCTGTCGGGTCGCGACGTCACCTATACTCCCGTGGCCGCAGGGCTGCTGGAGATCCACGTGCGAGCCTTCAATGAGCTGGGCGGCGTAAACCACACGCTCATGATTGATGTCCAGGACGTCATTCAGCACGTGGCGCTGCGCAGCGGCCGCTGCTTCACCAACCGCTCGGCCCGCTTCGAGGCTGCCACGAGCCCCAGCCCCCGGCGTGTGGCCTATCACTGGGACTTTGGGGACGGGGCCCTGGCAGAGGACACGGAGGTTCCCTGGGTGGCTCACTCCTACCTGCAGCCTGGGGACTACCGTGTGGAGGTGAACGCCTCCAACCTGGTGAGCTTCTTTGTGGCGCAGACCACGGTCACCGTCCACGTGCTGGCCTGCAGGGAGCCCGAGGTGGATGTGGCCCTGCCCCCACAGGTACTTATGCGGCGCTCCCAGCGCAACTACCTGGAGGCCCACATCGACCTGCGTGACTGCGTCACGTACCAGACTGAGTACCGCTGGGAGGTGTACCGTGCCACCAGCTGCCAGCGGCCTGGGCGCATGGCCCAGGTGACCCTGCCCAGTGTGGATGTGAGCCGGCCCCAGCTGGTGGTGCCACGGATGGTGCTGCCTGTGGGCCACTACTGCTTTGTGTTCGTGGTGTCGTTTGGGGACACACCGCTGGCACGGAGCATCCAGGCCAATGTGACAGTGGCCCCTGAGCGCCTGGTGCCCATTGTCGAGGGTGGCTCCTACCGTGTGTGGTCGGACTCTCAGGACCTGGTGCTGGATGGGAGCAAGTCCTATGACCCCAACCTGGAGGACGGTGACCAGACGCCACTCAGCTTCCACTGGGCCTGCGTGGCCTCGACGCAGGTCAGTCACATGGCGGGGCAATTGTTCTCCTAATCCCCCTTAGGTCGTTTGTGTGGATGAGGCTGGCAGGCTCTTGGGTCTGCTTGATATGTCTGAGTGCCTGGTGGGCTCGATCCCAGCAGGGGGAGGGGTCTTCCCAGCCGTCCCCGGGCCAGGATCTAATTGGAGGCAGGCCTAGGATCTCAACCCGTGCGCACCCCCTCCCTGGCCCCGTTACGGACTGCAGAGTGAGACTGGCGGGTGTGCGCTGAACTTCGGGCCCCGTGGGAGCAGCGTGGTCACCATCCCCCGGGAGCGTCTGCAAGCCGGTGTGGAGTATACCTTCAACCTGACCGTATGGAAGGCAGGCCGCAAGGAGGAGGTCACCAACCAGACGGTGGGTGCTGCCCTGGCCCAGCCCTGGGTGGAGCTACTGGCCTCCAGGGTGGGGGGGGACTGCCAGAGAGGCTGAGTGCACAGGGCCCCTGCCTGCACATAGTACCGAGTACCCTTTTTTTTTTTTTAATTATCTTTGGCTGCGTTGGGTCTTTGTTGCCGCGTGTGGGCTTTCTCTAGTTGCGGTGAGTGGGAGCTACTCTTTGTTGGGGTGCGCAGGCTTCTCATTGTGGTGGCTTCTCTTGTTGTGGAGCACGGGCTCTAGACATGTGGACTTCAGTAGTTGTGGCACACGGGCTCAGTAGTTGTGGCTCACGGGCTCTAGAGCACAGGCTCAATAGTTGTGGCACATGGGCTTAGCTGCTCCGCGGCATGTGGGATCTTCCCGGGCCAGGGCCCGAACCCGTGACCCCTGCATTGGCAGGCAGATTCTTAACCACTGTGCCACCAGGGAAGTCCCCGAGCATCCATTTTTCAGGTTTTTTTGGTTTTTTGGTTTTTTGTTTTAGTACTTCTAGAAGCTATTGGTTTTAAGTCATTATTACCCTTGATGTTAATTCTACTTAACAAGATGCTCCTCTGGCATTGCTTTCTTCCAAAAAGGCCATAGCTGTGCACAAAGCTTAGAGGCACAGCACAGGCCCTAGTGGGTTGTGAGAAATTCACTGTCCGCGCAGCACTGAAGGCCATCAGCGAGGAGACACGTCCCTTCCCCAGAGCATGGTGTCCCCTCCCTGAATGAGGAGGGCCTGTTCTTGCCTGTGTGTGGAGCACGCTCTCTCTCCCTCCCTAAGCTGCCAGGCGGTCAGGACCACGTATGCTTGGCCCCATGGCACCACTCCTGCTGCTGTAACAGGAGTGGGTGCATCAGGCCCTGCTGGTGCCTGGGATGGGGTGTCCATCCCCCGTGCCAGGTTTCTGCCTGGAGTGGCTGTTTGGGGCTGTCTGATGTGGGCCCTGCCCCCAGTGCAGAGAGCAGTGGGAGGCTCAGACGGGGCTGCGCTGAGCTGAGCTATGCTTGTCCCCACGCGGACACTAGTCCATCTGTACCTTCACGCCTCTGTTTATCCGTTTGTAGCTGAGCACCTGTTGAGTGCCTGCTGTGTGCCAGGCCCAAGACCGGCCCGGGGTGCTGCAGAAAATAAGCCCATCATGGTCTGCACTTCATTAAATTTCCTCCTCCCCCTATCCTCCTCCCCTGTCCCTCGCCAATCCTAGGAGTCACAAAACGATACAAACATCCTGGGTGAGGGCTGAGCTCATGGCCCCACAGAACCTGGGCTTCGGGCTGACTTAGGAGTTGGCTGGGTCTGAGAGGAGCTTCTGCAGGTGGGAGAATGGCAGGGGCAGGGGCCCTGCTCTTCCATGGGTTTCGCTACCACCCACCACACAGGGCAGACTCAAGGGTCTGGGCCTCAGGAGCAGAGCCCCAATCCGGAGGCTCCTGGCCAGGGTGGGCATGCCTCTCTCTAATCCTGCCCGGCCTCCAGGTGCTGATCCGGAGTGGCCGGTTACCCATCGTGTCCTTGGAGTGTGTGTCCTGCAAGGCGCAGGCGGTGTACGCGGTGAGCCGCAGCTCCTACGTGTACCTGGAGGGCCGCTGTGACAACTGTGGCGGGGGCTCCGAGCACGGGGTGAGCAGGGGGCCCCGGGTGGGGACCAAAGTTGGTGGGCCTGGGGGAGACCCGCCCCTGAGCACCTGTGATCTGGGTGCCCTCTCAGCGCTGGGCCGCGCGCAGCTTTAGCAATGAGACACTGGTGCTGGATGAGACAACCACGTCCACGGGCAGTGCGGGCATGCGGCTGGTGGTGCGGCGCGGTGTGCTACGGGACGGCGAGGGCTACACATTCACGCTCACGGTGCTGGGCCGCTTGGGCCAGGAGCAGGGCTGCGCCTCCATCCATCTTGCCCCGAACCGCCCTCCACTGGGGGGCTCCTGCCGCCTCTTCCCGCTCGAGGCCGTGCGCGCCCTCACCACCAAGGTGCACTTCGAGTGTGTGGGTGAGTACGGCCCACAGGCCCTGGTGATGGGGGGCACATTGGGACCCCGCTGATGCCCTGGGGTCCCACAGGCTGGCAGGACGAGGAGGACGCGGGTGCTCCACTGGTGTATGCCCTGCTGCTACGGCGCTGTCACCAGGGCCACTGCGAGGAGTTCTGTGTCTACAAGGGCAGCCTCTCCACCTATGGGGCTGTGCTGCCACCTGGCTTTGCGCCCCACTTTGTGGTGGGCCTGGCTGTGGTTGTGCAGGACCAGCTGGGTGCCGCCGTGGTCGCCCTCAACAGGTGAGCCTGTGCCCGTGGAACAGGGCCTGGCTGGGGGTGGGAGGGGGACCCGCCACCTGTTCATCCACAGCCTCTGCCCACAGGTCTCTGGCCATCACCCTGCCAGAGCCCCCCGGAGAGTCCCCCGACGGCCCCCCAGATCTCACGCCCTGGCTGTACAGCCTCACAGAGAGCACGCTGCCTGGGCTGCTGCGCCAGGCCGACCCCCAGCACGTCATCGAGTACTCGCTGGCCCTCGTCGCTGTGCTCAATGAGGTCAGTGCAGCTGAGGAGCCCCTCCTGCACTGGCCTCTGTGCTGGGGGTGGCCCAGACCCCCTCTCCTTACCAGGGCCTCGGCACCACTCCTGCTCCCAGCAGCACCCACTTGCGGGGCCCTCCCCAGTGCCAGGCTGCCTCCTCCTCTCCTCGTGCCCATAGCCCCCACGTGGGGTCCTGGGGAATACCCCTTTTGCCCTTGACACAGGGCTCGAGTCGCCGCTGGTGTTAGGCAGCAGCCGAGATGCCTGCCCTTGGTCAGCCTGCACTGTAGGTGGGACTGCCTATCTCCTGCTGACGGCTCCCCTGTGCCTGCAGTACGAGCAGGCCCTGGCCATGGTGGCAGAGCCAGACCCCAGGCGGCAGCTGCGCGCCCAGATACGCAAGAACGTCACTGAGACCCTGGTCTCCCTGCGGGTCAACACCGTGGACGACATCCAGCAGGTTGCAGCCGCCCTAGCCCAGTGCACGGTAGGACGAGACACAGGTCCTGCGGCAGCCCTGGGCCCCCAACCCTGACGACCTGAGAGCTCCTTTCCTAGCCAAGTCTGTGTGGCCACGTGCCCGTTCTCAGCTGTCCCAGCATGAGCCACGGGTGCCCCCCAGGGTGACCCTGCAGGGGTCCAGGGCACAAGGCCCAGGTGTGGGGAGGGGCGAGGCTGTTTTGTACTCTCGCCTGTGAGCCTGTGGTTACACCTGACTCCGCCACCCTCGCCTAGGACTCAGCAGCCAGGCTGGGCTGGGCTCTGTCTTGACGGCGGGGCGGGGGGACTGTGCTCAGGGTGGCAGGGGATTGCTGCCGAGGCCTTGTGGAGGAGAAGGGAGGGGAAGGTTTTCTGGGTGGGGGTTGTCCTGTCTGCGACATGGCTTACTTGGCTGTGTGTGTGGCCGGGGTGGCCATTGGGGCCACATTACCTTGAACTCTGCCTGTGTGTGGGGAAGAGCCACTGAAGGGCTCCTGGCAGAGATGCCCATGGGTGTAGCCGTGTTTGGCATGGATTTTCCAGCTACAACATGAAAGGTGGTTTGGAACAGCTCCACGGAGGTGGGGAGGCCGCTGTCACAGAGGCTGCTCCAGGATCACAGCGAGCATGGCGGAGCCAAGCTGGGCTGAGGGGCAGAAATGGGGGGAGCTGCTGCTGAGTGGCCCCTACCTGGCCTGGGTCAGCCGGGCTGGAGTGGGGCTGGACATGGTGATGGGCTCCTTGCAGGTGTCCAGCTGGGAATTCGTGTGCCGCTCGTGCCTGAAGAAGACACTGCACAAGCTAGAGAGCATGATGCGCATCCTGCAGGCTGAGACCGCTGCGGGCACTGGGACGCCCACTGCCATTGCCGACAGCATCCTCAACATCACAGGTGTGGGTTCCTGCTGCTCCCCGGACCTTCCCCCACCTTTCCCCCACCTCTACCCCCCTTCCAATCTCTGCCCCCCACCGGACCTCTCCCCCCAACCTCTCCCCCAACCTCTCTGTCACCTCTCCCCCCACCAGACCTCTCCCCAAACCGGACCTCTCCCCCCAACCTTTCCCCATGATCCCTCTCCCCACTTCTCTGCCTAATCTCTCCTATCCGTAGGTGACCTCATCCACCTGGCCAGCTCGGACGTGCAGGGCCCACAGCCCTCGGAGCTGGGGGCAGAGCCGCCGTCACTACTGGTGGCGTCCAGGGCCTACCAGCTCTCATCGGCCCTCATGGGTATCCTCATGCGCTCCCGTGTGCTCAACGAGGAGCCCCTGACCCTGGCGGGTGAAGAGATCGTGGCACAGGGCAAGCGCTCGGATCCACTGAGTCTGCTGTGCCAGGGCGACGCCTCGGGCCCCGGCTGCCACTTCTCCATCCCCACAGCCTTCAGCGGGGCCCTGTCCAACCTCAGTGATGTGGTGCAACTCATCCTCCTCGTCGACTCCAACCCCTTCCCCTTTGGCTACATCAGCAACTACACTGTCTCCACCAAGGTGGCGTCCATGGCTTTCCAGACACAGGCCGGCACCCAGATCCCCATTGGGCAGCTGGCCTCAGAGCGCGCCATCACCGTGAAGGTGCCCAACAACTCAGACCAGGCTGCCCTGGGTCACCGCATCCCTGCTGGCTCCGCCATCGTCCAGCCCCAGGCCTCAGTCAGTGTCGTGGTCACCCCCGAGAACAGCAACCCTGAGGCCGGGCTTCACCTGCAGCTTACTTTCATGGTGCTGAACGGTGCGTGGCATAGCGGGGCCCTCGGTGGGCGGCCTCCTCTTCCTTCCTGTGGCCCAGCCTGTGTGGGGCAGTGGGGTGGCCAGGTGAACAGGTGTTTCTCGCGGGCACCCCCACCTCATGGCCTTCGGTAAAGTCTGTCTCCTGCTTCATGGAGCCCTGGGGGCCTGGCTGGAGGACAGCGGGGTGGCTGGGGAGGGCTTCTGGGGTTGTCCCCTGGGGTGTGTGAGCTGCCCGAGCAGGGGTCTGAGCCTGCACATGCCACCCACAGAGCACTACCTGCCGGAGGAGCCTGAGCCCTACCTGGCTGCCTACCTGCACGCTATGCCCTGGCCCAACGAGCACAACTGCTCCGCCAGCAGGAGGATCAGCCTGGAGGTCCTGGCAGGCGACGACCACAGGCCTTACACCTTTTTCATCGCCCCGGGGTGAGCACGTCCTGCCCTGGACCTGGGAGCAGTGGGACTTGTTGGCGGGGTGGGGCTGGTCTCTGAGGGTAGGTGGACATGGTCGGATCCGTACGTGCCAGGGCCCAGGGGCTCCCCGTGGGGTTTGGGGAGCGGGCCAGGCCAGGTCTGGCCATGACACCCCCAATTCTCCCAGGACCAGAGATCTGGGCGCGAGCTACTACCTGAACCTGACCAGCCACTTCCGATGGTCAGCACTGGAGGTGTCCGTGGGTCTGTACACGTCCCTCTGCCAGTACTTCAGCGAGAAGGAGATGGCATGGCGGACGGAGGGCCTCATGCCCCTAGAGGAGACCTCGCCCAGCCAGGCTGTCTGCCTCACCCGCCACCTCACCGCCTTCGGTGCCAGTCTCTTTGTGCCTCCCAGCCACGTCCACTTCATCTTCCCCGTGAGTGGTGCTGCATCCTTGGACTTCTGGGGAGCCCCAGCTCCACCCTGAGCAGGCGAGGGCTGGGCTGCGCCCCTGGGGCCTGATGTCTCTGTCTCCCTAGGAGCCAGCCTCAAGCGTGAACTACATCGTCCTGCTGACGTGCACTGTGTGCCTGGTGACCTACGCGGTCACGGCTGTGATCCTGCGTAAGCTGGACCAGCTGGACGTCAGCCGGGTCCGCGTCATCCCGTTCTGCGGGAAGGGGGGTCGCTTCAAGTATGAGATCCTGGTCAAGACCGGCTGGGGCCGGGGCTCAGGTGAGGGGGGCTGCCTTCCTGATGGGGACTCTTGTAATAGAGGGGTGGCTTCCAGCAGGGGTTTGGGTCACCATGGCTGTGCCAAGCAGCAGCTCGTTCATCTGCACCTGTGGGCATGCAGTGGGCTCGTAGTCCCTGTGGGCAGCCGCTGACGTGTGCAGCCGGGTGGAACAGCCTGACGATTGGTGTGGGAAATGATTACTAAATGGTAATAAATCGTCCTGGTGAAAAGATTGTTTTCAAGACATCAAAAGCTCTTGAATTTTGGTTAAAAATGTGGAAAGAAACTTGATGATGTGGAGTTAGTACAGTGTAACCTAAAGCGTTAGACGCTGAGAACTAAAGTGCCTTATTTCTTTGTGGGAAACTTACCAAGAGTAGTTTGAGCAGCACTTGCCTTCTCATCTGTAATTGCCACCCGAGGGGGCATCTTTGTGCCTCGGCCAGCGGACACTTTGCTGCCGACCTCTTGTCGTGCTCTCCTCACTGTGAAGTACCTCTGAGAGTTCTTTCCACGTGAAGTTTTTGCCGGCATCCATTGCTATGTGACGTCTTCATCCTTTTTGTCTCAACTATTGCTCTCACTCATGTTGGTGAGTTTGCTGTCAGCGACGGCCTCTCCAGAGCCCCTGGGGCAGCGGCAGCGACAGTGGCCCCGTGGTCGGCTGTTTCTTCAGTTGTGTGTTTGCCTTTGATGCAAATTTCGCTTCCTTGGTACCATTTTTCATTTCTATGCTGTGCTTTCATCTTTGTCACCTGGTTCTCTCTTTTGTCTTTTTAATTTTTTTTGGCTGCGTTGGGTCTTCGTTGCTGCTTGCGCAGGCTTTCTCTAGCTGAGGTGAGTGGGGGTCTACTCTTCATTGCGGTGCGTGGGCTTCTTTCTCACTGTGGTGGCTTCTCTTGTGGAGCATGGGCTCTAGGTGTGCAGGCTTCAGTAGTTGCAGCACGCGGGCTCAGTAGTTGTGGCTTGCAGGCTCTAGAGCGCAGGCTCAGTAGTTGTGGCACACGGGCTTAGTTGCTCCATGGTATGTGGGATCTTCCCGGTCCAGGGCTCAGACCCGTGTCCTCTGCATTGGCAGGCGGATTCTTAACCACTGCGCCACCAAGGAAGTCCCTCTCTTTTATTTATTTATTTTATTTATTTTTATTTATTTATTTTGTTTGCTTGTTTGTTTCATGGTACGCGGGCCTCTCACTGTTGTGGCCTCTCCCGTTGCGGAGCACAGGCTCTGGACGCGCAGGCTTAGCGGCTATGGCTCACGGGCCCAGCCGCTCCGCGGCATGTGGGATCTTCCCGGACCGGGGCACAAACCCGTGTCCCCTGCATCGGCAGGCGGACTCTCAACCACTGCGCCACCAGGGAAGCCCCTTATTTTTAAATTTTTTTTTGGTCCTCTGTGTTGATGAACCACTTTTATAAAACGTCGTGTAGGTTTATCACTGGGGACATGGGGCAACACTGCTGTGCACTTGGTGGTCCGTGTGGGGACTGAGAGGTGTATGGTGACTGGTCACCAGCAGCCTCTGGGAGAGGTGATGTCACCCATCAGGACATGCATCTCTTGTGTAGCGGACTGAAGGCTGGCAGCCACCTTCACGTTCCATGCTGTTACTCGCAGTTAAGGCACCACCACAACTGGCATTTGAATTGTGTCACTGGGGGCCGTTCATTTAATGGTTTGAGGTGACTGAGATCCATTTGTATCAGAGCCGCAGGGTGGGGGCTGCCTGTGCCTGTCGAAGGAAGGTTGTCAGGGCAGACTCGCCCGGGGTCAATGTCTGGTGGGCGGCAAGCCCAGAGTCCTGCCCCCTGTTCTTCCATCCTTCAGGGACCACAGCTCATGTGGGCATCATGCTGTACGGGGCGGACAGCCGCAGCGGCCACCGGCACCTGGATGGGGACGGAGCCTTCCACCGCAACAGCCTGGACATCTTCCAGATCGCCACCCCACACAGCCTGGGCAGCGTGTGGAAGATCCGCGTGTGGCATGACAACAAAGGTCTGGGGGCCCCGCTGCTGCCGCCCCCACCCCCCTGCTGCCCCACCCAGCCCTGACCACCCTGCCCCTCCCCTCCGCAGGGCTGAGCCCTGCCTGGTTCCTGCAGCACATCATCGTCAGGGACCTGCAGAATGCCCGCAGCACCTTCTTCCTGGTCAACGATTGGCTGTCAGTGGAGACGGAGGCCAACGGGGGCCTGGTGGAGAAGGAGGTGCTGGCGGCAAGTAAGGCCCTGCCCCGGTGGCGGCGGGGCCATGGGGTGGGGGTGGGGGGCTGGGGCGCCTGGCCCTGGGATCTCCTGAAGCCCTCCTGTCCGCGCCCAGGTGATGTGGCCCTGCAGCGGTTCCAGCGCCTCCTGGTGGCCGAACTGCAGCGCGGCTTCTTTGACAAACATGTCTGGCTCTCCATGTGGGACCGGCCACCTCGGAGCCGCTTTACACGTGTCCAGCGAGCCACGTGCTGCGTCCTCCTCATCTGCCTCTTCCTGGGTGCCAATGCCGTGTGGTACGGTGCTGTGGGAGATGCTACCTACAGGTGGGTGCTGTGGGGGTCGGCACGCCCTCTCTCTGCCCAACCCGCAACCCCTCCTGCCCCACCCCCCAAGCCGGCCCGTCTCTCCTCTCCTGCCACAGTGTGAGGCCCGCGTCCAGTCTGATCCCACTGAGCATCGACACCATCGCCGTCGGCCTGGTGTCCAGCCTGGTTGTCTACCCCGTCTACCTGGCCATCCTGTTCCTCTTCCGGATGTCCCGGAGCAAGGTGGGCGGGGCTCCTGGAGCATGGGCACGGCTGCCCCTGCCAAGGGCTGTGCTGTTCAGTGTGGCAGCCAGAGAGGGGTCAGGAGCCAGGGGAGAGATGCAGGGTGTCAGAATCAGGAGTGAACAGGGGTCACTGCTGACACCACTGAAGCAAACAGGACTGGCTGGGGAACTGGCTGATGCCCATGTCTCATAAGAAAGGGTCATACGCCATGACAAGTGGCATTTCCCCCAGGAACCCAGAATGGACATCATTAGCTGTATGTGGCTGTGTTTTTTTGGGGGGGCAGGGTTTTTTTTTTTGTTTTTTTTAAATTTTTGGCCATGCCATGGGGCATGCAGGATCTTAGTTCCCCGAATAGGGATCGAACCCACGCCCTCTGCAGTGGAAGCAAGGAGTCCTAACCAGTAGACTGCCAGGGAATTTCCCGTATGTGGCTGTTTTTATATATATGTGTGTGTGTGTGTATATATTTTTTTTATATATATATATATATTTTTTATTTTATTATTATTATTTTTTTTGGCTGCGTTGGGTCTTCATTGCTGCGTGCAGGCTTTCTCTAGTTGCGGCGAGTGGGGGCTACTCTTCGTTTTGGTCCACGGGCTTCTCATTGCAGTGGCTTCTCTTGTTGCGGAGCATGGGCTCTAGGCACACAAGCTTCAGTAGTTGTGGCACGCGGGCTTAGTAGTTGTGGCTCACGGGCTCTAGAGCACAGGCTCAGTAGTTGTGGCACACGGGCTTAGTTGCTCTGCGGCATGTGGGATCTTCCCGGACCAGGGATCGAACCTGTGTCCCCTGCATTGGCAGGCAGATTCTTAACCACTGTGCCACCAGGGAAGTCCCTGGCTGTTTATATTTAAGTTGATTAAAATTAGATAAAATTAAAACTTCAGCTTCTCCATTACACCAGCCACACTTCAGGTGTTCTGTATTGGCATGTGGCAAGTAGTTCCTGTGATGGACAGTGTAGGTGTAGAATGTGTGCATCTAGAACATTCTCCAGGAGAGCACTGCTCTAGACTCTGCCTGCCAGGAGCGAGCATGCCTCCCCACAGCAGGGTCCCAAGCTGCCTCCCACTGACCGCCTGCCTCTCCTGCAGGTGGCCGGGGGCCCGAGCCCCACACCAGCAGGGCCGCAGGCGCTGGACATGGACAGCTGCCTGGACTCATCTGTGCTGGACAGCTCCGTACTTGCCTTCCCAGGACTCGGCGCTGAGGTGCGGGCTCCCCAGGGCCTGCCCGGATGGGGTCGTGTTCTGGGCAGCCTGGAATCAGGTTTCCTCTGTGCTTCTCAACAGGCCTTTGCTGGACAAATGAAACATGACTTATTTGTGGAGGATTCTAAAAGGTGGGGGTCTCTAGAGGAAACGTGAGCCATTTCTCCTATAGGTCAGCTGCGCCTCGCATGTGCCGCGTCACGTGTCCTCGTCCGTGTGTTGTGGGGCTGTCCCGGGAATGTTTGCTCAGCAGCACCTCATGTCCATGTGTGACGGGACTTGGGTTGGGTATGTGTGCAGACGCGTCCTCCGGGCTCCCCTTGCTGACCTGTCGCCTGCAGCCTGGTGTGCTGGCCATCCAGCGAAGGCACCCTCAGTTGGCCAGACTTGCTGAGTGACCCGTCCGTCATGGGCAGCACCCTGCAGCGGCTGGCCCGGGGCCGGACGGGCCGCACGCCGGGCCCAGAGGATGACAGTCTCTCCCTGGTCAGCCCCTCCTCACCTGCCAAATACTTCTCAGCTTCAGGTGGGTGAGCAGGGGTGGGGAGGGTGGTGTCCCCCAGCTCCCCCCAGGAGGAGGGAAGGCTCCAGGGCTGACACATTTTGCTCCCTCCAGATGAAGACCTGATCCAGCAGATCCTGGCTGAAGGGGCTGGCAGCCTGGCCCCCACCCAGGACACTCAAGGAGAAACAGACCTGCTCGCTGGCCTGTGAGTGCCCAGCTCCTGGGGGTGGGGGGCAGCAGGGAGCCCAGCCAAGTAACCCTGCTCCCTGTCTGGGCCTGCACTCGTGCTGTCCAGCCAGTGTGGAGCTGGGGCGAAGTTGTTAGGCCTCAGAGTCCCTCATCTGTTGAAAGACCTCGTGGGGTCACCAGGGCCCAGCCAGTGTTCCCTTTAGGGTGGCAGGAGGGAGGGATGTTTGAGTAACAAAAGGCCACCAGTGTGAGGATGGCAGAACCTGCCATGATGCGGGGTCGTTGCAGCCTTTTAAATAGCTAATTTTTTTCCTTTCGACACTATTTCAATTTCATGGTTTTTCTTTTCTTTTTTTTTGGCCGCACGGTAGGGTTTAGTTCTCTGACCAGGGATTGAACCTGGGCCCTGGCAGTGAAAGTGCCGAGTCCTAACCACTGGACCGCCAGGGGAATTCCCTTCAGTTTTATGTTTTTAAGAATGTCTCAACTTCTTGGCTGGTTTCCAATTTAATAACAAAGATTCACATAGAATTACCTCATACCTCTTTTCTCATCTGTACCTATTTTAATATCCGTATTTCCATTCCTTCTAACTATTCTAATTTTCAAGCAACCAAAAATTACTGAGATATACGAACTTTCCCAGAACACAGAGTAAAAGGTAAAGCATCTCAATTTGTTTAACGAAGACAGATAACAATGCCATGATAGAATTTTAATGAAGGAATTGCCAATCAATTTGGAAACCTATGCTATGAGGAAGCCCTGGTAGTAATTAGCAGCTGACCACCCCACCATCTCCAGCCCAGAGCCCTCCCTGACACCCAGGTCCAGACATCCACCTGCCAGTAAGCAACTTCTCCACATGAGTGTCCAGGGCAGCACAGACTCGCACAGCAACACGAGATGTCTCAGGAAAGGGCAGGTGCACTCTTGGACTGACCAAGACAAAACTCTTGGATTCATTCTTGACTCCTCTCTTTTCAAGTACTTCCTCACACGAGCCTTTAACAGATTCTGTCTGCTACTTTCCAGATTCGGAATCTGACCTTCTCTCCACCTGCCCTTGCACCTGCCATCCAAACATCATCCTCTGCCTGGACCATTCCAGGGCTGACTCAGCAGAGTCCTGTTCCTTCCTTACAGCTCACCTTCCTTCTCCCTGCAGCAGACCCTGCCACTGCCCTCCTGGGGTGGGGAGGGGGGCACATTGGTATGGGCTGTTGGTGGGAGGCCTCAGCTCTTCGCCATCTGGACCTCAGCACTAGGCTGCTTGAGCATCCTCACAACATGGCGACCAAAGTGAGTGGTCCAGGAGAACAAGGTGGAAGCCATAGTGTCCTTTGTGGCCCAGCCCCTTATTCACACACAGTCATTTCCACAGTATCCTTTTGGTTAGGAGGAAAGCATCACTGGGGCCATCCCGCAGGTGACCTGCTGCAACTGGGCACAGTCCTCACAATGCTCCCCCAACCACACCTGATCTGGCCCCACCCCCTCCCTGTCCCTCTCTTGCCACCTCCGTCACCCACTTCCTTTGGCTGTGGCTTCCGTTGCTCTTCTGTCCTCATCTTTTATATTTGCTGCTCCCTCTGCCTGGAGGGTTCTTCCCAAGACAGGAGCCTCACCTTCTACTTCCTTCAGGTCTCCTCTCAGATACATCCTGATCAGAGCCTTCCTTCCTGCCCCGTGTAAATAATGTAAAAGGCACGGGAATGTGGGCACGTGCTCGTGCAGGGCAGAAACAGGCCTCTGTCTCCGTGTCCTCCCCTGCTTCGCTTATGCTTTCTGTCTGCTTCCCCCACCAGCACGTGCACATGACATGCACATGGACTGTGCTCGTCTCTCAGTGCGTAGAGCAGGGCCTGGCATCTAGTTAGGGGACGTCATGCTGGTTGTGACCGAAGGAATCAGTGAACCCAATCAGACATAGCCTTTGCTCTCCTGCAGCTTAGAGTCAAATGTCAAACTCTATGTATTCTAGCTGAACCACTGATCCCGATACGACTTGTTTCTATCTGCATGTAAAATGTAAACACATAGAGAAAAAGGACTAGAAATAACTATTAACACTACTGTTCCTTGCATGATGGAAATCTATTTTCTACAAATAGTTTATGCTACTTTTATAATCAGAAAAATCCATTTCAAGAGAAAAGTGTGTCCTGTATATTCATGTCTGTTCTCTCTGTACTGTCCCACCTCCAGAAGCCATAATGCCTTTTATTCCCTGGGAGACGCACAAAACCAGAAAGGTTTGCCGCCACTCAGCGGCAGGCGTGTCTGGAGGCCCATTCTCTTCAGGGCACAGCGGTGCAGACCCGCTGCTAAGTGTGTGCACTTTGTCCCCAGTTCATGGCTGTCACCATCTTGCTTCCCTCTTTCTTTCTCCCCCTTCTCTCCTCTCTGCTCTGGCTCCTGTAGCTGCCCTCTCTCTGTAGCAGCTCTGGAGCCCGGAAGGTCAGGTCTGGTGGCACCGGGAGAGACAGGCAGCTCGGCATGTGAAAGACACATGTACGTTTCCTTGTCCAGAAGCCGGTCTTGGGTTTCGCGTGCAGGGAGGCCTGGTTTGCTGGCACAGAGATCAGGCTGGCGGACCAGGCTGGAGGCCGGATGGTGGCACTGTGGGGGGCGATGGCTGCTGGAGCGGTGGCAGGACGGAGGGGCAACAGGTCACAGTGATGTGAGGCGAGGACCGTGTCCCGGAGGAGGTGACCCGGCCCCTCCCCAGAGTGACCAGTGGTGTTCTGGCCTTCAGCACCATTTCCACCTGGCTTGGGGCAGTGTCCTCTCTCTCCATGGACCAGGGGAAGGGAATGCACGGGCCCAGAGAGGTGGGCTGGCCGCGCCTTGGGTGGCGTGTGGGCCGACAGGTGAGTGCTGGCTGCTCCCCTCTGCCTGTGCCTCAGGTGCAGTGCCCCTGGTGAGAGGAATCAGACGCTGATGCTGCCAGGGGAGAGGGGGCTGCCCAGCCCAAGCCTGACGTGGGAGCAGCCCCAGCCGGCAGAGCTGTCCAGGACAGGTGCGCTCCCGAATCCCCAGGTTGGCCCTCCCCACCCCTTCCTCTGCGCTGCTGGTGACCTGTCTGTGTCTGCCTCCCCAGGGCTGGTGGAGGGTCTGCGGAAACGACTGCTGCCGGCCTGGTGTGCGCCCCTGGCCCACGGGCTCAGCCTGCTCCTGGTGGCCGTGGCCGTGGGGGTGTCAGGGTGGGTCGGCGCTGGCTTCCCCCCCAGCGTGTCTGTCATGTGGCTCCTCTCAAGCAGCTCCAGCTTCCTGGCTTCGTTCCTCTGCTGGGAGCCACTCAAGGTAAGTGGGATGCAGGGGGACCAGGCTGCCAGCCTCTGGCACCCACGGGCCCCTCTGATGCTAGCCCTGGTCCAGGTCCTGCTGGAAGCTCTGTATTTCTCACTGGTGGCCAAGCGGCTGCACCCTGATGAGGATGATACGCTGGTGGAAAGCCCGGCCGTGACGCCCGTGAGCGAGCGTGTGCCCCGCGTGCGGCCGCCCCATGGCTTTGCGCTCTTCCTGGCAAAGGAGGAAGCCCGAAAGGTCAAGCGGCTGCACAGGATGCTGAGGGTGAGCTCAGGCCACGCAGCCAGCGCCTGCCCTCCCTCTCTGGCCTCCTGGCCAGGGCAGCATCTTCCAGGAGGTCCTGCCTTTCTCAAAAGTCTCACCTGCACCCTCTTTCTGACCACCAAAGGCCCTATAGCAGGTGGTGTAGGGCTCTGCAGCCCCCGCCCCAACTCCCTCCCATCACCTCCTGGCCCATCCTCCTGCCCAACTCAAATGCCTGCTCCTTCCTGGCCTCACTGGGCCCTGGTGCGGCTCCTTGGCCTTCACGGACCACGTCTGCCCCCAGGCCTGGCTCTTAGCACAAGGCCCCCTGGCTGTGGGCACTTTGCTGCCCAGCGTCCGGAAGCCCTGCTCTGTCATGGGTGGGGTGGGGGCAGGCAGGATTCGGCTGACTCCGGGTCATCCCTGCCCCCCAGGGCCTTCTGGTATACATGTTCTTCCTGCTGGTGACGCTGCTGGCCAACTATGGGGACACCTCGTGCCACGACCATGCCTACCGCCTGCAGAGCGCCATCAAGCAGGAGCTGGACAGCCAGGCCTTCCTGGCCATCACCCGGTATGGACACCCCGATATGCAGGCACAGGTCTATCTTTTTGGCCAGGGTGGTGCTGATGCTGACCAGGGTCCACCTTGATCCCGCCCTTGGTCCAACCCAGCCCCTAGGGGATATTGGGTACAAGTACCTCAATACATTTTTGGTTGTCAGAACTGGAGTGGGTGTTGCTGACAATGGGTAGAGACCACAGATACTGCTCAACACCCTGGCTGAGGAACCAGGTTGTGCCTCGTCCCCTGGGGTAGCACTGGCCGCCTCCCCCTGGCTGGGCCGGGGCTGCAGTAGCAATGCTGTCTGGGCCTCTGACCTCTGGTGGGCACCGGAAGCTGAAGGATGGAGCATGTGACTCTGTCTGGTGTGGTCAGGTCTGATGAGTTCTGGCCGTGGATGTCCCACGTGCTGCTCCCCTACATCCACGGGAACCCGTCCAGACCAGAGCTGGGGCCCCCACGACTGCGGCAGGTGCGGCTACAGGAAGGTGAGCTGGGGTGGGGCACCCTGCCACTTACCCATCCTTTTTTCCAAAGAGAAGCCTTTGGCCAGGGTCTGGTTCCAACTCCCTTAGCTGGGTGACCTCCCTGCCTCAGTTTCTCGATGTGCAGGTGAGACAGTGACATCTATCTTCTGGGTTGCTGGGAGGGTTCGGTGAGATCCCATAGAGCTCAGCCTAGGAGGCTGGTGAACAGTCAATGCTCCTGGTTTGGCCGGGCTCATTCCCCAGCCCTCTGCTTTCAGCGCTCTGCCCGGACCCGCCTGGCTCAGGGGCCCCTACGTGCTTAGCAGCCTCAGGGGGCTTCAGCACCAGCGACTACGGCATTGGCTGGGGGAGTGCTGCCCACAACGGCTCTGAGATGTGGGCCTACTCGGCGCCAGACCTGCTGGGGTGAGCACGGAGGGCAGGTCAGGGTGCCCAGGGGGCAGGGGGAGTTCCCCAGAGGAGCCCCTCGTTCCAGCCCACTCCCACATTCTGCATGGCGCCGGCTCAGACACTGTCCTCCTCCCTGGCAGCGTCTGGTACTGGGGCTCCTGCGCCGTGTATGACAGCGGGGGCTACGTGCAGGAGCTGGGGCCCAGCCTGGAAGAGAGCCGCGCGCAGCTGGGCTTCCTGCAGCTGCACAACTGGATCGACAACAGGTGGGCGCCCTGCCCTCAGCCCCTCCCGAACCCCGCCCACTGTGCACGTCGGTCACATCTGCGGGCTGGCTCACTCCTGCGCCCAGCTTCGCTGCTTCTTATCATCCCCTGAAGGAGCCCAGCGAGCCCTCCTGCAGCCCCGCGGCCTCCCCAGTACACGCCTCACCCTCCCAACACCTGCCCCCAAGCCTCTTCTGCGAGCGCATCGTCTTCTCCTGGCGCGTCCCCTTCCTTCCCACCCCGTCTGACTCCGGGCCCTCCGCGCAGGAGCCGTGCAGTGTTCGTGGAGCTCACGCACTACAGCCCGGCGGTGGGGCTGCACGCCGCCGTCACGCTGCGCCTGGAGTTCCCGGCGGCCGGACACGCCGTAGCGGCGCTCAGCGTCCGCCCGTTCGCGCTGCGGCGCCTTAGCGCCGGCCTCTCGCTGCCGCTGCTCACCTCGGTAGGCCCCGCCCCAGCCCCGCCCCGGCCCCGGATGGCCCCGCCCCTGTCCTGACCCCTCCCCTGCCCCGCCCTCACAGGTGAGCCTGCTGCTGTTCGCTGTGTACTTCTCTGCGGCTGAGGTGCGCGCCTGGCGCAGGGAGGGGCGTGCGCGCGCCACGCGGCCTGGGACCTGGGCCCGGTGGCTGCTGGTGGCGCTGACAGCGGCCGCAGCACTGGTGCGCCTGGCCCAGCTGGGCGCCGCTGACCGCCAGTGGACCCGCTTCCTGCGCGGCCGCCCGCGCCGCTTTACCAGCTTCGAGCAGGTGGCACAGCTGAGCGCCGTGGCCCGCGGCCTGACCGCCTCGCTGCTCTTCTTGCTTTTGGTCAAGGTGAGTGTTGGGCCGGTGTGCCGGGGCGAGCCGGCATTGGCGGGGTCGGTCGGCTGATGCCCTCTGTCCACAGGCTGCCCAGCAGCTGCGCTTTGTGCGCCAGTGGTCGGTTTTCGGCAAGACGCTGTGCCGGGCCCTGCCAGAGCTCATGGGGGCGGCCTTAGGTCTGGTGGTGCTCGCCGTGGCCTACGCGCAACTGGCTGTCCTGGTAGGTGCCAGTGGGGCCATCGGAGAGGGTGGCTTAGCCCAGGCCGCGCCTCACTCATGCCACCTTCCCCACAGTTGGTCTCCTCCTGCGTGGACTCACTTCGGAGCGCTGCCCGGGCCCTCCTGGTGCTGTGTCCCGAGGCTGGGGGTCCTGCCCTGTGCCCTGCGGAGTCCTGGCGCCTGTCCCCTGTGCTATGCACGGGGCTCTGGGCCCTGCGGCTGTGGGGTGCCCTGAGGCTGGGGGCAGTCCTCCTGCGGTGGCGGTACCATGCTCTGCGTGGGGAGCTGTACCGCCCAGCTTGGGAGCCGCAGGACTACGAGATGGTGGAACTGTTCTTGCGCCGGCTGCGCCTCTGGATGGGCTTCAGCAAAGTCAAGGAGGTGGGTACGGCCCAGTGGGGGGGAGAGGGACGCACCCTGGGCCCAGCTGAGCCCAGGGCGCAGCCGGACTGACCGAGCCCCTGTGCCGCCCCCAGTTCCGCCACAAAGTCCGCTTTGAAGGGATGGAGCCCCTGCCCTCCCGCTCATCCAGGGGCTCCAAGTCTTCTCCGGATGTGCCCCCACCCAGCGGAGGCTCCGACGCCTCCCGCCCCTCCACCTCCTCCAGCCAGCTGGATGGGCTGAGCGTGGGCTTGGGCCGGCCAGGGCCCCGAGGGGAGCCCGAACCTGAGCCCTCCCGTCTCCAAGCTGTGTTTGAGGCCCTACTCACCCAGTTTGACCGACTCAACCAGGCCACGGAGGATGTCTACCAGCTGGAGCAGCGGCTGCAGAGCCTGCATGGCCGCAGGAGCAGCGGGCCCACAGCCTCACCTCCCCCTAGCCCCTCCCCAGGCCTGAGGCCAGTCCTGCCCAGCCGCCTTGTCCGGGTCAGTGGAGGCGTTGGCTTGGCTATAGGCCCCAGCAGGGCATCCCTGCGGGCCAAGAACAAGATCCACCCCAGCAGCACTTAGTCCCAGGGGATCTGGGCTCATGCCTCTTCTCTGGGGTGGGCCTGTGGCTTCACTCTGGCCCCTCAGAGCCAGAGCAGACACCGCTCAGTATTATTACCTTCTGCCACCCTCGAGGTTTCAGGCCAGGCAGAACAGCTGCACGCAGGTCCCCCAGAGAGCAGGCAGCACTTGTGTCTCTCTGTGGGCTTCAGCACTTTAAAGAGGCCGCGTGGCCAGCTAGGACCCAGGGTCCCCTCCCCAGTTCCCTGTGGGAGGACACAACAGTATTGGACTGAGTGCCCGGCCTCTGAGATGCTAATTTATTTCCCAAGTCCTCAGGTACAGCGGGCTGTGCCCGGCCCCACCTCCTGGGCAGACATCATCTCCCCCTTGCTACTCCCCCTTGCTAAGGATCCAGGCTATGGGGGATGGAACCTGCACTTCCTGTCATCCTCCCCCCCTAAATTATTACCTCCTCTGTCCCCCTGCTGAGTGCATTCACCTCCAGCTGCCGCTTCCCCGGCTGCCGCTGTGTGTCTATTGTCTGTCAGTAATTTATGTGGGGTTAAAATGTATATATTTTTGTACGTCGCTTTTATTTTTCAATAGGGCCAAGGGGCCTGGTGGCTGAAACAGCCTGTGCCCACTGTCACCCACCTTAAGGGGGAGCTGGGACTGCAGAGCTGGCCTCCCTCCCCAGACACCTGCCCACACGGCTAGGGAAGCAACAGCCATTTCTTGGCTCCAAGTCTGGCCTTGGGCAGGTGCTGGGCAGAGAGAACGGTTGGAGGGGTGCAACCACCCCGGGCCCTTCTTGTCACCACCATGGCCTTATTCTCCTCCCCTGCCCAGGCCTGCTGGTGGGTCTGGGTGAGGGGCAGCACCAGTGCATGGCACGGGGCCCTAGGGTGGGTAGGGGGAAAGATCTCTCCCCGGGGGCTGGCTCCCGGGCCAGGGGAGGTGAGCATGACAGTGCACATGTGAGGCTTTCCTGAGGGCAAGGCCCCAACAGCAGCCTGACAGGCCCCCTCCCCACTCCAGTGGGCATGGCCAAAGCTACAGCCTTGATCCCACCCCACCCAACAGACGAAGTCAAATAAATAAGTTGACTGACCGTTCCAGTGTCTGTGTCCACTCCGGTGTCTGTGTCCAAGCACACAGGCCTGGGCCACACCAGCACTTTATTTGCACAAATAAATACCACCCAGTGTGCCTCATGGGGGCAGGGAGAGTCTGGCAGCACGGCTGCTCAGGTGACAGCTGGGGGAGCCCAGGCACGTGCTCAGCATCTCAGAGAAACCCCAACAGGACCAGGCACCAGCCCCCGTGCAGCCTCACACAAACTCAGTGAAGTCATCCACAGAGGAGACGAGGCGCTTCCGCTGGCCTGTCTCGTAGGTGGGCGTGGACTCAGCTGGGGCCTGCGTGGGGGCCTTGGCGTGGCCAGGAGGGTGAGTCTGCATCAGGGGCAGGCTGGCGTTTGAGTAGTGGGCTTCCTCACGGATCTGAGGGAGAGGGAGCTTCGGCAGCAAGTCCAGAAGGGGCGACCCATGCTCCCCAGGCTGGATACCAGCACCCCCAGTCAGCCATCACGTCTCTGAGGGAGCGCCCCCACCCCCAATGCCCAGCATGCCCACGGCCCAACCTCCCTACCCGGTGGCGGAGCCGCTTGATGTGGCGGAGCCTGGCAATCCACTTGGAGGGATAGGTGTCGGTGGGGTTGGAGCGGCTGTGGTGCACCTGCGAGGCCATCTGGGGCGGGGAGGGCAGAACAGTGAGCCCTGCACAGGTGGCACCTGTGGGCCTGTCCCACCCACCTCCCGGGGGCCACCTCTGCTCACATTTGCGTGCAGGGCCATCTGACGGGCCACGAAGGGCAGGTTTCGGTCGGACACGATCTTGGCCACGCTGGTGTCCACGAGGCCCTCCATGTCTGGGGAGACACAGCACTCATGTGGGGCTCAGAGCCCCGGGTGCCTCCCCACCTGGCCCTGCGCCTCACCTTTCCTGCACTGCAGCGACACCAGGTTGCACTCATAATCCAGGGGGGTGATGATCACGTGGACAAAGTTGAACTGGCCCTGCCCGGACAAGAGCAGGGGTCACCCCAGCACCAAGGGCCACTTTCTGCCACCCCACACTTAGCCCAGGAGGGCAGCTGGCTTGTTGGTTAGATGCTCGCTAACTCAGCACATGTAGCCACCACCTGCACACCCACACTTACTCCTCACCTGGCCTGGGGGCCACCACCCTGTCACCCCTCTACTGCCTCACGTACAGCCTGCATAAGCCAGACGGTCACACAGCTCCCAATCCCTCCACACTGCCCAGGGCTTCTGTGCTGCCCAGCAGACACCTGCCTCACTGTTGGCTGAGAGCAGCATGTGGAGCTCTGCAAGTTCCTGGGCCGCCCAGGATGGCACACGGAGCATCCACACCTCAGGCCCCTCCGAGGTTTCCGTGTGTGTGCGTGTGTGTGTGTGCGTGTGTGTCGTCATCCTCCCCCCCCCCCCACCGCCAACAGCTCTACAATGCAGGAGGCCCACTTCGGCCTCCCCAGACACTCCTGCCTCTACCAGAGTCTCTGCCCCAAACCCCAGGGGGTCTGTGTTCAGTGACTTCCTCCAAGGCTGCTCAATGTACTCAGAATAAATCCCAACGCCCCTGAGCACTGGCACCTCAGACCCTGGGCTGTGCCAGGCACCTGCCCACTCGGCCTTGCAGCTCATCCACACATGGCCACCCCGTGACAAGCCACCTGCACTGAGCCCGCCTCCTCCCCACGGGACCTCGAGCCCCAGCGACTTCCTCTAGGAAAGCGGGTGATACCAGGCCCAGCCCAACCGCTGAGCGACGACATGAGGGACGGACTGGGGGACAGGGCTCAGGGTTGTTACAAGCAAACGCTGTGTACCCACCACCTGCCATGCACCCGCCAAGCACAGTCGCACAAAACCCACAGCAGTGCACGGCTCCAAGAGGAAACGGGTGTCCTCATCACAGAAGAGGACACGGCCCAGGTGGGGGCCCGCCACCTCAGGGGGTTACACAAGCGGGTCGTGATGTCACCAACGCTGACCTAGCGAAGCTCGCTATCTCTGCTCAACACAGAACAGGGGGCACTTCCCCAAAGAGATCCGGCTTCCAGCCTGGGGGCCTGGGGCCCAGATCCACGCCCACCTGCCCTTTGGGCCCCTTGCTCACTTTGATGGTGCCGAGCTTGAAGTCCTCGCCAGAGTCGTTGTAGACAATGGACACAAAGTCGTTGCCCAGGTGGCGCTTCTTGTCACAGCGGTGCTTGTCCACGTCCTTGGTGGGCATCAGGGTGGCGATGTGGAAGACGGCTGCAGGGCGGAGCGGAGCTGAGCGGGGTGGCGCCAACCCAGGCAGGGTGCCAGTGAGGGCTCCTCAGGCTGAGGCTGGGGGCCAGGACAGGTGGCAGTGGGTGCAGCCCTCAGTGCCCCTGAGAGGAGGGCTAGGTTTCTCCGGAGGCTCCTGAAGGCCCGCAGGAGCCGGGAGGAGCGGGCGGGGGAGGGCACACACCTTGCATGATGTCGTCATGCCAGCAGTAGGTGAACTGGCCGTCCTCGCCGCACACGTCCAGGCCGCCCAGGTACACCTTGTCCGGCTGGCAGTCCTTGAGCTCGATGAGCTTGCCCAGCCCCGTCAGGAACTCTGTGTACCTGTAGGAGCCATGCTCATTGGACAGGATGGCGAGCTCACTGTTGCTCTGCAGGGAGACAAGCGGGGCACGGTGGCACCTGCTCCTAGGCCACCCCCCAGCCACATGCTGCCCCTCCCTGGCTCTCAGGACCCCAAGGGCTTGTTGCTGCTGGGAACCCAGAGGAGGGGTGACTGGTGTGGCTGGGCAGACAGCCCCACTTCTGCCATCAACCCGACGTGGCGAGGAAGCTTCATTCAGGGTGAGGCAGCTTCATTCCCGTCGTTGCCCAGGTGTGTCACCCCGCTCCCCCACTCTCTCGTAACTAGCCTGTCACTAAACTGGGCCAGCTCAGCTTCAGAACACACTCAGAGCCCTCGGCACCCCTCTGTCCCTGCTCCCCCAACCTGCCTCTCACTCCACCCACTGCCGCACCTCTGCCAGTTCTCAGCCTCAGCCGGAGGGTGCTTTTGAGACTCAGGTCGAGTCAACTTGAACCCTTCGCTTGGAACCACCTGAGGCCCTCCCATCTCACTGGGTGCCGAGTTCCCACCACAGCCCCACTACTTCCCGCCCCAACCGCCCCCACCCCGCCCGGCACCCCTCCCCTCTGCGCTGGCCCAGGAGCGCACTATGCCGCCCCCACCTGCATGTGCGCTCGCCTCCCTCACTTCTTCCACGTCTGCACTCCATGTCACCTCCCTCGGATCAGCGACATGAAAAGCGTGCCGCTCACACCTGCGCAGGCTCCCTGGACGCGCCACCTCCTCCTCCTCCTCAGTCCTCGCCACTCCGTGCACCACGTGCTCACACACTACCTGTCACTCTCACTCCTGGATCCCTGGCACGGAGCTCAATGGGCACCCGACACTCCAGCGGCCCTGCAGTGACCAAGCTCTGCGGAGGACAAGGGCCCAGACCCCCCCACCCCGGTGGGGTGGACGCCCAGCTCTGCCCAGCATGCAGGCTGGCCCCTGCCAGCCTGGCAGCCTCACCTGGCCTTCTCCCACGTACAGGACGGCGATCTTGTGTGTGTCATACGATGGGATCTGGTCAAGGAGCTGCACTGACCGCTCAAAAGACTGTAGCCACAGAGCCCTGCCTGAGCCCAGGGCAGAGGCTGTCCCCTACCACCAGCCCTGCCCAGCAAGCCCCAGCCCAATGCCTGTCCAGGAGAGGCCTCTCCTCACGCAGGCAGGTTACTGCAGGCTGCCATGGGGACCTGAGGCCATAGCCCTCCACAAGCCTGGGCTATAGCCCCCACTGCCCAGCCCTGGGGCACCATCCCACTGTGCACCCCCAGCCAGGCTCCAAGGGGACCCTGAGGGGAGAGAGGGCCCGCCTACCTCATTGGGTAAAAGGATTGGCTTGTTGGACTCATCACCGAAGAAAGGTGAGTGGTAGAGCTGCAGGAACACAAAGCTGCAGGGGAAGAGAGATGATAGGGGCTGGGCTTGGAGCTACAAGCCCAGGTCCAGGGTCTCAGCCAATACGGTCATAGCCCATGTGGAGAGCAGCAGGGCCCGAGCCTCATCACCCAAGGAGCTACCCTCTCCTGTGGCTCCGACCACCCACGGGGCAGAGGATGTGCAGACCTGTACCCCAGCCTGCTCTGTCCTGGGCCCCTCAGGCACCACGTCCCCACAGGGAACATCTGGGCACTCCCACCAGGAGGGCGAGGCTCACCTAGGGTTGATACCTGGCACCTTCTCGGTATTGGAGGTCCCAGCTCTGCTCTTGAAGGCGTCCCTCTCCACCCTCTTGCCCCTGCGTGACGGGGCTGAATCAGAGATAGTGTAGCCTCGAGGCCGCAGCCCACTGGGGGAGCGGGGACAGCTGGAAGGCAAGGGACCCTCAGGCTGGGTGGGACCCTGGCCCTGGCTCTCTTCGCCTGGGGCTGACCAGGCAGCACCTTCCCTGTCCAGGATCCCTGACTGTGACCGGGCCTTGGCCTCAGGGCTCAGCCGGCTGACATCAGCCTTGTCCCCAGGGTCCCCAAGGATGTCCTGCAGGGTCTGTAGTTCAGGTGATGAGCTTGACTTGCTCAGGGGCTGCGAGGGCTGGAAGGCGAGCTCCACAGAGGGCCGGGAGCCCTCAGAGGAGATGGCCCGCTCGATGGGGATCCCCCCAGCAGCCAACTCCTCGGTGTGGAATGACTTCTCCTCCTGGCTGGAGGTCGAAGATGACTGTAAAGAGTATATCCAAAGAAAATCTTCATCAAGAGGCACCACTGAGGGGACTTCCCTAGTGGCACAGTGGCTAAGAATCCTCCTGCTAATGCAGGGGACACAGGTTCGAGCCCTGGTCTGGGAAGATCCCACATGCCGCGAAGCAACTAAGCCCGTGCGCCACAGCTACTGAGCCTGTGCTCTAGAGCCCGCGAGCCACAACTACTGAAGCCCACGCGCCTAGAGCCTGTGCTCCACAGCAAGAGAAGCTACCACATCGAGAAGCC